CGTAATAGACACTCCACTCAAGCCCTTTAGATAACAGTGCGTTAAGATGAATAATTTATAACTATAGATCTTTTCTTGCAAGTGGTACCAAAGTTACACAGCCGCGTTTGAAATGTCAAACTGATACGCAGATTGCGCATGCACTGTGCATCAGTTCAGATATCACCTGATAGTTATTAAGCAAAATTGTATTATTGAAACACCAACTCCACACCAGAGTGACTGAAGACTGACCTAAACGGCAAGCTTAACCCGACTGATAGACGGATGGTTAAGGTTAACATGATATGTCCCAATTCATTGTTTGGGGCAATTCAAATAATATTTATGTATGCTTCTTTGCGAACCCTATACCTAAAGGTTATCTTCACTAACCTAAGCTTTAATTAGTGTTTATACATAACGTTCTAATGCGTAAAATCCAAGCATTATGTTATATGCAAGCTAAAACATGTTAGAGGAGTGGTGTGTACACAGACGCTTTATCTTAATTCAGACGAAGTGCTAGTTTGAATGAATGCAAGAAAACATTAAAAGCCAGTGTTATATCAAATTGCTACTGAATACGTTTCTTTTAGTTACTCCCGAAATTTGGACACTGGTTTAAATCTATAGAAAAAGGCAAAAACATGTGTACGTCTCCAAGAAGAACGGAACTATATGATTAACCCTTTCAAGCTTGTGTCATTTCTATTTTTAAGAATATCAAAGTGTCACAATTCTTTAACTTGAAAACAATAAAATAATTATAAAATTATGAAAAGCTAAAATTCAGTTAAACACAAGCAATGGAATGCGTCGTCCTCGCTGCTGGCTGTGAAAAGAACAAATCTCGGAATAAATATAATATTACATGCCTGTTTGTTTACAGACAGCTTTAGTGTAACACCTTTGTTTTTTTTTCTAAAATATTTTACAAAGATCTGTACTACAATATGATTGCTTTAATTTTTCATTTTTATGATCGTCGTATGCTAGTTATACTAAGTAGTAAAATTAGTTATTGTTATGTTTTGTTCTAATATTTGACAAAACCCTGGCAGATGGTTTTATAAGACAAGACAGTAAAAACGTGAATATCTTAGCAGCTCATCTACAAATAGAGTGCAGAAAGTCTACTGAACTTCATTTGAACAAGTCAAGTAGTTTTTGCATATTTGTACTAAAAAGTAAACTTCGCGCTGAAAACGTTTACAACTTAAAATTCCGAATATCATATCTAATGACAAAAAATAAATCAGCACGAGAAAATTGGGGAATTTTATATATATATATATATATATATATATATATATATATATATATATATATATATATATATATATATATATATACGTGTCCACTCCGATAATTCCTGTGCGACTTCGATTTGGTATAATCATAACACGCTTTCCTCGACAAATTTTATGACGCGCAGACGAATACAGGAATTGGTAGATTGGACCAAATAACGATGACTCCACCTGTTCATTGTGTGTGTGTGTGTGTGTGTGTGTGTGTGTGTGGTTTTAATTTTTACGTAGTTTTAAAAATGTCGAGTTATGTCTCTACGATGTCTGTAGTGTGTAGCAGTTTACAGTGATGTTCAGCACTGGGGCATCATCCCGCGGACATGAAGCATCGTGTCCCACCCAGCCACGTTACCCTGCCACCAGGCCAACCAGTCCGAACACTAACCTCATGTGCTGAACGCCAATCGAGGCATGTTGGGAATACCTCTATCTCTTCCTGTCGCGTGATAAGGATGAACACTAGAATACAATAATAGGGCAGATGAAATCTAGTATGCAACATTTTGTGTATGATATTCTTACCACGTTTACAAATAGCGGAAATAAATAAAATATAAATTTAAGTAGATATGGAAATACTGAAAACCGTTGTAATTTTGTACATGTAAATATCTGTGTGTACTCATGATTGTGTTCAGAAATAATGTTTATGTCTATTTGAGAAATTATGTTTTGATAAGGTCTTCTGAGCATTGAATGCAAGGCGAGCTACGGGCAGCTAGTAGAATACAAAATTAGGTAATAAACATTTCTATGTTTTGCAGGATAACTCGGTTTTAAGGACCTAATTTGACTGTATAGACTACGATATCGATAGCAGTTGGTTGTTACAGACGTAGTTAATATTTCCATATCTGTTTAATTTCAAATGGCTTATATCAAAGACGGTTCGAGAACATGAAACCATAAATCGCTTCTAGTGTCCACTCCGTAAACAATGATATGATTTTTAAGTAAATTTGAGAAACATAGAAGTGGTCGAATCTAAAGCACACGCTACTGTCTTTTTTGTCATATTTCAAAGGGGCCCCCAGATATATTGACTCAGTACAACCACTGATGGATGCTGCATCAACTTTGTTTTATCTCCGCTGCTGTATCAACATCAAACAATTTCTTAATGAATGTCTACTGTTAACACGATAAAGGAAATAAAATACAACAATAGTAATAAATTAATAATCGACCACCTCTGTGCTGTTGTGTTCACATTCCAAAATCATATATTGCTATTCTTAAAACGTTGACTACATGAGCCAAATCAATAACATTGTTTTGACTGAGTTGAAACCTGCCCTAGAAAGTTCAAGATCACGCTGGTTCTGCATCTAAGAGACGTCTATGCAGCTACAAGCCAAAAGAGATAAGACTTTGCATATGCTTTAAATGGCAAAGTCAGCTGAACTAACAAGTACTCTAGAGAGCAACGGTACAAATACGACTAAGGAATGTTTTTGTGGGTCAACAAGAATGTACAAAAAAAGTTCCTGTTTAACTAAGACAAATTTACTCATTAAAAAGTTAATTTATAAGGCGGTCATATCTTTAATCCTAACATTTGTATAATCACACACTGCAGGACACAATGCAATCAGAATCGAGTACTGAATGATATTGTTAGCTTTTGATTTCTTTTGTTTACTATACTGAAAATTTGAATATTGTCAAGGCATTGTAGCTGCAGGCAACATAATTATTGAGGAGAAAACTATAACAAATTCACAGCATATCTGAAATTTAAGTTTTATGATAATTAAATGTAGTAGCGTGTTGTTAAACGGTTAATTTTGGTTTGACTAGTTCAATTTATGGCAAACGCACTTTAAATTTAACGAAATTATACTTTGATTCTGCAGTCTTGGAGTAAACGAAGATTGTTAAAATCATTTAAATAAAAAAAAATAACAGCGATTTGAATCTGCCTCCATTTTTAATGACGCTTTTATCTTTCTCGATTGAGTCAATTGTCTTCAGTATCTCATGAAATCTCTGATGCAAGCAATCAATTAGCGGGCATTGAAGTCACCAATCATTTGATGCATGGCGTATATAATTGCGTTCAAAATCAATTCAGTTCAATTCAACTGTTTTTTTCTCATTGAGCACTTATAACTAAGTTTGTCTAGTTATCAAATTATAAACATAGTTTTAAGAAATCCGGAAAAGATAATCAACTGAAACTGAAAAGGAGTTAAATGGACACATAAAACAATCATAATATAAAAATGTTTGTTAAAATAATAATGTACCTCCTATTTAAGCGTATCTTATACAATTAATTTAATGCAATATTGTTTTATGGAAACTGGAAAGGAGTGAATGGACACATAGAAACAATCATAATTAAAATAAGTTTGTTAAAAGAAAGGAGTGAATGGACACAAAAAAACCAATCATAATAAACAGGTTTGTTAAAAGAATAATGTATCTCTTATTGTAAACGCGTCCTATACAATTCATTTAATACAATATTGTTTTCTTACTACAAATATCTTTAACTAGTTGGTTTTTATATAGGCTTTGTTTAAACTTTCCTCGTCTACGTTTGTATTTCCTTTTGTGATATCTCTTTAATTGATGTAATTGAAGGCAAAGATGCATCACTTGACGCATTCGTAAGAAGATGATTCACTTTCACACGAGTGATCAAGTTCCACTTGTCTTTCCGTGTATGAGGTCAATATCGATTCGGCTTAAGCACCTCTGTTTAATGAAGTGATAAGGTATGCATCTTTACATCACATATATACATTTTTAGTTTTGCTAACGTTTCAAAATATCACTAGCTAATTCACACTACACTTTCCATATGGCTGCAAAGTAGGAATCACACAAGAAAGGAGTAAATACACGCATATTTGCTAAAGTTAGCCCTCAACCACATGCAAAGGAAATAAAATCAGCTTGAAATAAGGAAACATAATTAATCAACCTCCAACATTAAGTTATGCTTAAGAAGTTATAGGAGACAGAGGTAACAAAACAATTTCTACTACTCAGTGTTTTAAGCATTATGATCATAAATGAAATTAATAAACTGTTGAAAGCTCTATTCCTTGTTTACATACAATCACTGATCAAGTTTTCGATCGCATTGAAATTGGTATGTATCACTATATATTTTGTGCTTAATTGTTTTGTTCATGATTGATGGTTGTGCCTGTTGATTTTGGGTATAATTCTAAGCAGTAAACAAGATGTTTACTTGAGTTTAAGTTCACGATCTGAACTTGTTTACGAGTTAGTGAATTTTTTGCATTAGAAATTGTCAGTTTCAAGATCATCCTGTTGCGTCATAAGTCATGTGGTAGTTTGCATATCAATTTAGGTTTTGCAAGCAGTCTTCATTCCTATTTATGATCAGTCTGTGGAATCTATCATAAATGTGCTCAGATATAATCTGAGAAGAAATATTTCTTTAAAATAATAATTATAGTTACAAAGTGTTATTGACATTTTCAAAAAAATATTACTTTGCGATTATTCGGAAGACATTCAAGACGATTTGTACATAATCATAGTCAAGGCTATCGGTATATAAGCATATTCAAGACTTGGAAATCATTCGGAACATTCTATACTATTATACTTTTTATGACAGTTATGATCATCTGTGATTTAATTCATAATACTTTAAGCGTTTTCTAAAGTTTTACTTGTAGAGAAATAAATTAATTTGATTGTCTCGCTTTCTTTCTGTTACATACCGCTCCGGTATCCTAGTGGTTAGAGCTTCCATCTCGGATGCGGGAGGTCGTGGGTTCGATCCCCGATCGAGTCATACCAAAGACTTACAAAAATGGTACTATCAGCTGCTTCGATTGGCGCTCAGTATTAGGACGCAATCTAGATGCCGCAAACTATTACAGAGAACCTGGACTAGCTCATGATGCTAGTTTGAAAATATCCAGTATTGGACTGAATTACTAACATAATTACTTATAGACTGTGCTATGTTCCGCTTTATTATGAGTTGAAATAGTCGGAGCAATAACGTGATCCCTAACATAATATCTCGAAATATATGCAAATGTTGAGGGCAGAATTACAAATAACTATGGATTTGTTGAGATCAGATCAAACTATTGTATTATGTATCTGGATATAGCATTTTGTATGGTAAATTTCACAATTCATACATGTAAAACAAAATATTAAATGGGAAACTTAAGACGAAATGTAGCGTGTAGAGACAAACCTGCTAAATATCGTCCATAGCAAATATAATTGTCACATTGTAACGTTCGATCTGAGATTTGTAAACGTCTGCACGATCAAATTAAAGTCTAATGTATTGCTGCTGATATCACTGATATCCAATGCAAAAAAAGTCTTCATCGAAGTGAGTAAGCCTACTACGAACAATGCCTAATTTAATATGCACATTCTAGAAATGAATCCAATACCTAATATTACAACTGTACATGACGTTAAGTGTACAACTGATACCTGCATAGAGTTGTCCTTTTCTAACCTACAACCGTATCTTAAATGAACACACAGAGTTGAACATCAACTTGAGACAAAAGTCAAACAGTGATTTCGAAAAATACTTTTAAATTGATAAACAAGCTGAGAAATGGAGGCAAGAACTACTATTAAATATGTCGTTATAAAATAAAAACACAGCTCGTTAGAATTACATATGTTTCGCCAGTTGAACCATTACAAACGTATTAGTGATTTGAATCTGTGGGAATGAAAATGAAAGCTAGATTAAAATAACCAAACTAATTTATAATGGTTCCACAGCATTGGAAATTTTATTATACAACCATTGCTAAAATCAGATCAAACATAAATGCAATAATCGATGAAGGTTCTATTAACCGGAAACGGTTCATCGTTTACTCCTGTTTTAAATATATTCATTATTTCCTTTTGTTTTGCGTGCTGAGTAGGACTTGCATAGTTCATTAAATCAATTTAATGTTTGTAGAACAACGGTTTGGAAAAACAGCTGTAACTTATTTCAAAGCATTTATTTAGTCTTTCCTTCCTGGATACTTCAGAGAATTTGCTAAGACAGTCAAAATTAACACTCCCATCTTGGCCGGTCGCATTCAAATAATTTGGCTCGTTATGTATTGAAATAGCGCATTTCGCGGCAGTGTCATTTATTAAATTCAGTTCCCTATATTTAGTATAAAGGCCAAAGCTAAAGTTACATATATTCCGACACCTCGTTTTCTTAATAATGCATCCTTTGGAGATTATGTTTATATGAAAAAAATGTATTAGATAATCAACATTAAATAACTCAACACATTAATTGACCTATCCTCAAAGTTAATCTGACCTATTAACTTCCCGTGAAATTAAGGAGAATACATATTGTGATAATTTTCGTTTTAGTTCAATGAGTTCAGTACGTTGGATTTCTTTTGAAAATACAAATCCATAAACCGTGATTTTCTGCTACTGCATATACATTGTTTGCTCTAAAGAAAGATATAAAAATTATTTTGATCCATTAATTGTGAGCTGTAGAAACCAAACTTAGATAAGCAGTTTTAAAAAGAAAATAAATCATGGAAAGGAATACATGATGTAAGAATGAGAGATTATTTCAAGTGTTGAATTGTAAAATTATTTCAAATTGTGAGTAGTATTTTGACAGGACACCAACTTTTGTAAATACTTTAGAAGGGACAGATATACGTGGTAATACCTTTGCACTGCGTAAATAAAACAGATTCCGAATCCTTTCCCTCCAAGTAAAGAAAAATATACTCTTGATTTAAGTCTAAATATAAACGTTCCATCTTACAAACAGTGAAAGAAATTGCGTGGTTTACAAGTGTTATGCCAAGCACAAGTAGCTAAACTTGTTTCTGATTTGTGCTAATTGTAATATCAACGAAAAGTACGTACCTCTTGATATGCACCTAGTCCTTATTCTATACTGGCGGACCAACACGCTATAACAGGTATGCTCTAAAATGTCCTACAAGGTCATATATATCTATTTTCTGCGTAAATTTCACTTGAAACAATTATTTGTTTCTTCAGCAGGAGAAGTTACTATTTTCCACAAGAATGTGCAGTAAAGAAATTTCATACTAAATTCTGCCCCGTATGTTTCCTGTTTCCTTCAACGTCAACCAGAAAAGGTAACAGCAAGAAAGCTACACATCGATTGCTATTTCCATCCAAAGCGACAATATCTCAAACTACGCCTACGATAACCCATGTGCATAACCTTTCCATCAAGTACTTAACTGATACAACCTATGGGAATTATAAATTAGATTTACCTTTTAAAATAAATGAAGGAGAAACGGGTAGAAATTAAACTAGCTAAATTGCATAATGGGATAAATTGGCGCTTAATATCTTTAATCTCTCTCTCTCTTTATATATATATATATATATATATATATATATATATATATATATATATATATATATATATAGAAAGAATACAAATCATATGGCGAATAACAACCCTCTCAAGCGTACTGGATCCACCAAGGGATCACGTTTGTCAGGGATTAATTAAAATAGATGCAATAAACTGACGACGAACAGTACGAAACTAGTAACTAACTAGCCTAAGCGCTTTCGACTCTTAATGAGTCTTTTAAACGCAAATACAAAACATAGTTACGACAAACAAATAAACACAAAAAAGTTGTGTTTGTAAACCTCTACATTTCTGTCTTCACATGTGCTAAAACTATAAATACAACCAGCTTGTATAGACTAGTTGCGGAAACTGAAAACGTTGTATAATTCTCTAAAAGTCTACAAGCCAAAGCGACATCTATTTTTACTTTGTGTACATATGTAACGCAGATTATATCCCGGATATTTGATTCTATACCGGTTATTCTTATAGTAAAAATTGAAGGATAATAAGAAGATTTAGAAAATGTTAAATTCTACTAGTGCATAGTTTTCATTTTCTAGTCTTCTTGGTTTAGACCGCTTGGTTTCAATGTTCTAAGGCGGCGTATCCAGTACGATTCCTTTTCCTTCCTGGTTTCGGAACTCCAGCTGTGGTTGTTAGCAATAGCGATAAGTATTATATCACTGAAAGTGTGGCCAGGGGAGGAGAAGTGTTCTGCGACCGGGCTTCTGTACAGCTTTTTTGTCATCCAATCAGATCTATGAAGGTTTATCCTTATGTGTAGCTTTTCAGTTTCTCCCACGTACTGAAGGCCACAGATCTTACATGTGATGAGATAAATCACATTCTCTGTTTTGCACGTTTTGTTTGGACCATGTATGTTTAGTTTTTCTTTAGTCACTGTGCTAGTGAATGTCTTGGTCTCTATCATATGTTGACAGGTTTTGCATGTTTTATCGCCACAGGGTCCAGATTGACTAGGTTGGTTTTGACTAGCGATTGTTGTTAGCTTGGCCCTGACTAGGATGTCCTTTAGGTTTTTTTGTCTTCGGTAAGCTACTACAGGTTTGTTCGGAAGTATTAGGTTTAGTATGTCTGACGATTGCACGGTTGGTCAGTGGTTTGCGATGATTTTACCTACTTTGGGATTGTCTGGGTGATAGGTCAGAATATATGGTATCCTATCAACCTTTTCTTTCTGTCCATATCTGAATAGGTCATCACGGTTTGTTTGTTTGGCCCTTTGGATTGCCTCCGCAATCAGGTCTTTGTCGTAGCCTCAGTAAATTAAATGTTTAGCCAGCTCTTCAGACCTTTCTAGGAATCTTTCATCGTCGGAGCAAATTCTGCGTATCCTCAGTGCCTGGCTATATGGAATGTTCTTAATGCAGTGTTTTGGATGACAGCTGGTTGGGAGAAGATACTGGTGTTTGTCGGTTGGTTTCGAGTAGATGTCTGTGTGTAATTTGTTTTCCACCAGTCTGGTTGTTGTGTCCAGGAAAACATGGTTTGAGTTGGAAATTTCTGCCGTGAATTTTATTGAAGGATGGAAGTTGTTTGCCTTTGATATGAAGTCATCCAGACTTTCTCTTCCATACTGCCACTTCATTTCTATATCATCGATAAAGCGTACCCACTGGTATGGTGTACGCTCAACCGATGCTAAGAGCTTTCCCTCAAGTTTTCCCATGAAAATGTTAGCATACGAAGGGGCCATTTTAGTACCCATTGCAGTTCCATTGATTTGTAGGTAGTTTTCTTCATTAAATTCAAAGTTGTTGAGTTTTAGGACAAGCTCCAGGAGTTGGATTAAGAAGTGTGTGGGTGGATTGTTTATCGATGATATAGAAATGAAGTGGCAGTATTTATAGTTTTAGCACATGTGAAGACAGAAATGTAGAGGTTTACAAACACAACGTTTTTGTGTTTATTTGTTTGTCGTAGGCTAGTTAGTTACTAGTTTCGTACTGTTCGTCGTCAATTTATTGCATCTATATATATATATATATATATATATATATATATATATATATATATATATATATATATATAAGTTCTACTTTTTGTTGGATTTTCTGTATGATTATATTATGTATATCACTTATCCTTATCCAAAATCAAGTTAATGATGTACCTGATAAGAAACAGTTGGAAGATCATTTTTGTGAGCAACATGATACTAAGCTAATATTTTTATGATTGTCTATTAAATGTTCAGATTCTTATCAATTGTAAACACGTTCAATTCAGTATGAGTTAAAGACACAGTATTGATTCTGACCTTAGAGACTTCTACAAATTAAGTTTCCCATTAAGTTGAATCAGAATATTTGAAAAAAAATGTTGAAAAATAAAATCCAATATTTGCTTGAGAATGATTTCGTAGAACCAAATAAACGTGACAAGTGTTCACCATGTATTTTTGTGCC